TCCGAGCGAACAATCCAAATTCTGGATGATATGCTTAGAGCTTGCGTAATCAAATTCAAAGGATCGTGGGAAAGGTATTTATCACTTGTTGAATTTGCATACAACAATAGTTATCAGTCAAGCATCAAAATGGCTCCCTATGAAGCTCTTTACGGGAGAAGATGTCGTACGCCCTTGAACTGGTATAAACTTAAGGATCGAGAAGTTATAGGTCCTGAATTGATTCAGGATATTAAAGAAAAATTTCAAGTAATTCAGAATAATCTGAAAGCTGCAGCTGATAAACAGAAATCGTATGCTGATTTAAAAATGAAAGAGATTGAATTTTAAGTCGGAGATAAAGTGTTCATGAAAGTGTCTCAATGGAAGAAAGTATTGAGGTTTGGACGTAAAGTAAAGTTGAGTCCTCGGTCCATTGGACCTTACGAGATTACTAAGAGGGTAGGACCAATAGCATATCAACTAGCCCTGCCATCTGAAATGGAAAGGATACACAATGTCTTTTATGTCTCAATGCTTAGGAAATACTGATCTGATCCATCCTATATTATTACTACCGAAGAGATCGAGGTTCAACCAGATTTGACTTATGAGGAAGAACATGTTCAAATATTAGCTCACGAAGTCAAGCAACTAAGGAACAAGACTATACCATTGGTTAAAGTCTTGTGGAGAAATCATAAAGTAGATGAAGCAACATGGGAATATGAGGATGAAGTACCCTTACCTATTTGCATAATGAAAATTCGAGGACAAATTTTTTTTAGAGGGGGAGAGTTGTAACACCCTCAATACCGGGTTAGTGATTAAATTGGAAAGTTTCAGATTTTGGTGATTAGAATAAAATGATTGAATAGTATAAAGATATATTTTAAATGATTGTTTAGGATTGAATTGAAAAGAAGAAGGAATGGAAGGACAAAAGAGTCATTTGCAAGAAAAATTAGTTAAAGAAAGGATATATATGAGTACACGTGGGTTGAAAATGAGATAACACCACAGGCTTCCAGAGTTCTCTTCTTCTTCTTTCTTCCTTGTACGTGTAAAGCAAAACAAAGGTGAGTTTTCTGATTATTGAGTTTCTTGTTAAATTTAAGATTGGGTTTTGATTATTAGATGATAACTAAGCTTAAGGAAAGCTTGGGTTATCTTAAAATCAAAGGATGATAGAGTTAGAAGAGATTAAAGATTAGAGGTTCTTGAATGAAATTTTGGAATAGAGTTCATATATAGAATTGGAAGTTAAATTTGACTTGTCATCAATCTAGTTAAGACATATTAAGGGTTAGAAGTTGAATTAAATCATGTTGCAAAGTTGGTATAATTCTTGGAATTCACAAGGAGGATAGGATTCTGAGGTTTAAGATGAAATAAATGAGTATGGATTGGTTTAAGTATGTGTACTGGAGTTAAGAATATAAAAAGGGATGAAACATGAAAGATTTAAGCTGAAATGGATGAGTTTTCGGGTTCAAGATATGAATTCTGGGAAGAGTGCATCGATGCACATTCAAAGTGTACCGATGCATCAAGAGAAAATCCCAGAATTTGTTGAAGGTGCATCGATGCATAAGGAGTGCATCGATGCACTCATTTAAATTAATGATCATCGAATGACATTAATACATCGATGCATAAGGAGTGCATCGATGCACCTGCTTAAAATACAAACATCGAATAGGATTTATGCACCGATGCATGGGTAGTGCATCGATGCACCCGTGAAGGGATGCATCGATACATGGTGTAGTGCATCGATGCATAACTTCAATAAGAGATTTAAATAGCTTTCTTTTAGCCTAAGAATTAATAATTTGAAATATATCAATTCGTATGCTGATAAGTATCAATGTATTACTATGTAAATTTAGAGCGTAATCTTGTTCCAGAACAATCGAAGGATTAGAATTAAATCAACCAAGGCTAAGGTGAGTGCATTTTATAATTAAAGTGTATAGAGACAATACTTGTGATAAGTCTATCTCTGGTAGTTGAATTAATGATTCCATACCTATGTATATGCATACATATACTATTGTAATAGTGATTGCATGCATAATTCATTATATGTTCATATGACATTGAATGAACGAATATCATTGCCAGAAAATATAATCTAGGTATGTGAAATACTGGAAAAGATTATGTGTTTACATGAAAAGTTATGAAAGAGATATGAAATGAGAAACATATTCATATTAAAGCCCATGTTATATGATACGAGAGCTATAGGTATAGTTGGCATGCCAAGAGTCGAGGGTATATTAGTCGGGACAAATATTGAACAAATGTTCGGTGCCCCATGAGGGAATTTATTGAGCTGTGGTGACAGCATTTGTGCACAACCTCAATGTACTCAAATACCTCTGTTCTCAATAATGTACATGGGCATTTGAAAGATAAAGTAAGGTGAAAGTGATATAAGAAAATAAGTTTCATATGTACATGACATGATTGTATCGGTTACAGTGAAATATATACATGCATATTGAAATGTTATGATCAAAGGGTAAGAATGCATATTCATTAATATATAGCTACATGTTTATTTAATGCCTCACTAAGTCTATGACTTAGCGTGTAAGTGATTTACACGTAGGTACCAGGAAACAAGAAGAGCAGTACTAGAAGTGGCAAGAATAGCATCACTACTAAAAGATCAGATCAGAAGTAATTGGCAAAGTAGGTATTTTGGGTTGTGTATAGAGCGTTGGCATGTAATAAGTTGTTAATTACGAATGCTCTGGTCGATTTTTTATTTCCCTGTTTTTCTTTAAGTGGCAACGATTGAAAAGTCAATGTGACACATCAGACTCATATTCGGGTCAGATACGGGTTAGGGGTGTTATACGGACAGGGTCATTTTGGGTCTATATTACATTTGTTTTAATTTTATTTAGGTCAGGTCTGGTTTGGGTTTAGTTCGGATGTATGGTAAATTGGTTCGGATCGAGTACCGGGTATGGTCAATTTTTGGGTAGGTCAATTTCGGGTTGTGTGACTATCAGATCGGTTGATTTTTGTGCGAGGTTAATATCGGATCGATTAGATTTCGGGTTGGGTCATTATCAAATCGATTGATTTTCGGCTCGGGTCAACATAATATCGATTAATTTTTTATTTGGGTCAACTTTTGGATCATATCAATTCGGTTCGGATTTAGGCTTAATTCGGTTATAAGTCTAATCAAGTATATATAGATTTTCGGTTCAGACTGCTTTTGATTCAGATTAATTTCGGATTGAGTTAAATTCGGTTCGGGTAATTTCAATTCAAATTATTTTCGGCTCGAGTTAATTTCAGTTTGGATTATTTTCAATTCGGGTCAAATTGGAAGTGGGTCCATATTGGGTTAGGTAAATTTTGGATCAGGTATGGTTATGGTTTTAGATCAAATTTGATCATCATGTTCAGGTTAATGTCGAGTAAATCGATTCAGGTAATCGAGTTCGGGTCAAGTTTACCAGGTTTAGGTTTTATTATGATGAACTTAAATGTATTAAGTCTGATGTAATCATTGATGCTATTGAAATCTAACGAAATTCTTCCATCCAAAAAGAAAAACTGAGCCTAATTTAAATAAACTGATTTACATAGTTGAATAGGATTGGTTTGATCGGTTTTGCATTGATTCATTCCCAACCATGGTTTTCAGAACCGGACTGGTTAGCGAACCGACCATGCTATCGGTTCACTGGTTCAACCGGTCGAACCGGTCCGACCGGTCGGAAGAACCGGACGACATCATAATTATTTAAAAATTAAATAAAATACCAAAAATATTTAATAAAAAATAATTTTTTATATCACAAGTCATATTCAAAGCAAGTCATAACATATATAAGTTAAAAACCATAAAATCAAGTGAAACAAAATGATTAAAATTAACTACAACATAATATTTAAGGTAAAACATGTTAAATAATAAATATAATTATATAACTATAATTAAAAAATAAATTTGGGGCTAAAAAATCATAACAAAATTATATTGTTTGGTTTAATTTTTTTAAAAAAACAATCTCACATGGCTAAGAAACATAGAAGATCATCCCAAAAGTCTAAAGAGTAAAAATATGAAAACAAAACAATCCCACACGACTAAGAAACATAGAAGAACATCCCAACTAACTTCTATAAGTAATAGAGGTAATTTGGCATTCAAAATCATGGAGCCTTTTGGTGAGCATTGAGTGAACTATTTTTTCACTTCAATCAAGCTCGAATTTTAGGCTTCAATTGAGCTTCTAAATTTTTTTTGAGTTCAAGTTTCAATATTATATTTCGAGTTCGAGTTGAACTTGATAATTTTTAGCTCGTGAGTTTGAGTCGAGTTGAACTTACTTTTAGAGTTTTCAAGTTCGAGTCGAGCTCAGCAATACTCGTGTTTGACTTGGCTCGTTTAACAAACGACGTCGTTTGGTTTAATATTTTTTTAAAAATAATAATAAAATTAACGGTTTTTTTCGATTTTCAGCCGATCTGGTTCGAACGGTTCAATGGTTCCGGCCGGTTCACCGGACTAGGCAACGATTTACGGTTGAACCGCCGGTCCGGTTTTCAAAATACTGTTCCCAACAAACTGAAAAATGATCGGTCATCCTTTTTTTTTTATCAATAACTCTCCAATTTAGTCAAGGATGCCGTCCACCGCCAAAAGCTGTCCCATTTAGTCAAGGATGCCCTATCTCAAGGGCATAAATCATTTGGTATGGTTATGCAGGTATTATAAAAGTTTATGTATCACTAATATTCCTTTCATACCAATTGTCTTTTAATTGTTCTATTCAAATTGTCTTTTAATACCCTTCAGTCTCCTAAAATATAAAAGTCTTCTATGTTTTAAAAGTAATTTTATCATTTCCACTCTTTGGGAGATGACTTCCGAAAGTTGTGACTGTCGCGTAACAAAATTACTGGGACAGAGAATACATAATTGTAGCTGCAGTTTCATGCAATCCAGGTAGAGGCATGAAATAGTGATTGTAAAGAAATTGATACCCCAGCAAACCATCATATATTGGTCAGTAAGTATTACAAGGGGGTACACTGACCCCATATGAATCCACAAATATAAGAGCAGCCCAATATCAAAGCAAATTCCAATATCCAAAGTTGCTATAGACATTACATTTATGTGAACCACGTAGTATAAAGTTCCATTTCAAAGTAGACGTTACATTATTAATTGGCGCGGCTCCTTATAACATCGAGACCCATCTCAGTAGGATCAGTAGCTTGCAACTCTACCTGGATGCCGTCCAATTCCCTTTTGAACCTGTCCTTCGAGCTGGCATAAATCATCTTGCTTCTTACTTTTGATGTATCAGGAGACCTTCACGTACAAAATGTTAACATATCAGTGAAGCAATTCAGGATAAGTCCATGAAAAGAACACGTCACAAAGATTAAAAACCTAGAGTTACCAGGCAATGAAAAATATCCTGCTCTTCTGGCAGTTCTCGTTGGTCACAAAATCGAAGTCATACACAGCGTATCTACACTCATCAGCTGGAAGGCTAGCAGTGAAATCTTCATAGCTATCAGTAGGTTCACCAAGCTTCTCCACAACGACTTGCTTTTGCTTTTCCTCGATCTTGAAAACTATGAAGCGGTAAGTCCTTTTAGCCTTCAGTTCTAAAAACCTCAACTTGCAATCATCATGAACAGCCATTCCTGAAGCCGAGTTTGCCTGTAGAATCATGAACAACATCAGCAAGTATCATGCACCAACTGAGCCAACTAGAAATCTATACCACTGGGGATGAGATCGAGAAATCTTATAGTGGAGTAAGGCGAGATAAAAAAATTGATGAAATTATACATTTGGAGCAATGGCCAGCCCACCCACCCCTTTCCCAAGCTATGCCCCTGCATACTACTCAATAACTACTGGATAGTAATAAGAGCTCCAAAATTACAAAGAATCTAGACAATAATTTTGCAAAGTAAATGAAGTCATATCTGTTTAAGAGATAAAATAACATTGTTTGGACCTCAGAAGGGGGTTTCAGCAAATGTAGTTTCCCATTTACCTAAGCAAACAGGATGTTTCGGCCTCCAAATGAAATAATTCTTCCATTTTACAATTTACACAGCCTTCTTCAACTAGAAGGATCAATAATCGCTCACATTTACTTTATTCAATCAAACAGTTTTACAAACTGAAGGATTGAAACATTAACAACCAGACAAAGTAAAAGATGAGGAACAAAGCCCCAAGATAAAATCCATCCAGCTTTTTACACCACCTATTTAATTTGTTCCTTTTATTATGAACGTATTCAGCTTTCCATTTTATCAAGCTCACCATTAACATTTCCTTCTCATTCTTTTGTCACTTGCAAATTTTACTTAATCCTAACTGTAATAATCAATAATTCGAATAGGAAAATTATATATTGCGAATCTGTTCCAACTCAATCAACGGCCAAATATTGATCACGTTTTGACACCAAATAATATGATAGGACAATGAGCCGAAAAAAAGAAATTAACTATCATTTGTAGACGATTTGAATAAAATTATAAAGCACAATATATTCTCAAATCTACAGAAAGCAAAATGAAGTACACCGGATGAGGAAAAAAAGTGAAAAAGCAAATAAACTATTGAAAATCAATCGGTCAAACGGCCAGATGTGGAGATCGAATCGAGCAATGAAACCAGATTGGGGAAACTAAAAGACGGACTCAATAAAACTAAACTGAAGAAGTACAGCACCTAGTTTTATAAAAAAAAAGTATACCTAATCAACAGAATCAAATAACAATGAAGAAGAAGACAATAATACAAAGGTTAGGAAACAGAGAAAGTGAAGTCAACGACGAGCTGAAAGGAGAAGAGACTTTACCATGTTTTTTCCCGAGAGGGTGAAAGAACGAGAAAATCTAGGGCTTCTTGGGAGAGAGAGAGGGAGAGAGAGACACACACAGAGAATTGTAGTGCTAGATAAATGAGCGTTTTTCATATATATATATATATATATATATATTACCCTTTGATTTTATGTTTCTTTGTCAGACATTCTTCAGATTATTTTTTTTGATCTAATATCTTTTTGCAGTAAGGCGTGCCCCTGCAGTACGTTTTACGTTGATCTGGCGTCACTTAGGGTATAGCGCGGGACAGGGGCCGCATTTAATTTTTAAATCTGACACGCGTCAGAAAGGCGCCCCCCGTGGCTCGCCTTAGGTTTAATTACCCACCTACCCCCGACTGTTCACACCCTACCCCTATAAATACCTCCATTCACAATCAATTTCATCACACCAAATTCTCTCAACTTCTCTCGAATACTATTATATTCTATTTTAATTGTTTAAGGTATATTTTATTATATTCAATATTTTGTTTTAAATTTATTTAAGTATTTAATTTTTTTAATATTTTATTTAATTAATTTTTTTACAGATATAAAATGGAATGAGATCTACTTTGCTTGGATGGAAATCATATATCGCGACATTTTGCTGATACGGTAACATTTTAACGTTTTAATATAATTTAAATTTTTAGTAATGATTTATTTATTTAATTAATGCATGATTATTAGTTTAAAATTTAATTTTTGTAATTATTTAATTTTAGGAGAATGATCGTGTATTTATTAGGAACCTTAAGTTAGTGATACATAGTTGTGTCTTGTCGTATTTAGTAGAGGCTGGATTCGGTCACATAGGTAGATAAGAGGGTCACTGTAAGATAGAACCAGACCTTATTTCTGCCTTAGTAGAACGGTAGAGGCCGGAGACCCACACATTCCATCTTCCGTGTGAAGAGTGCACGATTACACTTGAGGATGTTTCTATGCACCTGGGGCTTCCGGTGGATGAAGATGTGATATCGGGGATGGCGCACGGTTCATGGACTGTTTTGTGTCGGGACTATCTGGGATGTGTCCCGGAAAGTTTTAACGGTGGTTGGATACCGTTAAATTGGTTAGATGCCAATTTTCGAGAGTTGAGCGAGGACGCCTCTGATGATGAAGTTAAAATTTATGCACGGGCATGCATATTGCAGTTGATAGGAGGGTTGCTGACGCCGGACAAATCGCGCAACCAAGTTCACTGTATGTGGTTGCGACATCTTGACGACTTTCATATGGTCGGGTCACTCAGTTGGGGCTCGGAAGTTTTGGCTTTCCTGTATAGGGAGATGTGTCGAGCCACTGACTACAAGAAAAATGCTATCGACGGATGTCTCCTGCTGCTGCAGTCTTGGGCATGGTATCGATTGCCCTTTTTATGTCCCGTTGTCAAGAACCCATTCGTATTTCCGCTACTCTTGAGGTAATTATAAAACTGATTTCGTATATTAATCATTTTATACAATGTATAATAAATTTTGTTTTCCTTGAATAGGTGGTCTAATGATAGGAAAAATCATCAGGAGCTACCTGATGATTTAGAAAAAAAATTAGGGTGCTAATCGATCAAAAGGCTGACACACAGGTATGTCTTTTAATGTTTAAAAATCGATTTTAGATTATAGTTGTATAATTAGATTATTATTTTGATAAAAATTATTTATATTTGTTTTAGTTTGAATGGGTGTCATATTCTAATGATGATGTGAGGATGGTGATCCCACATGTGTTGAGGGGCCCATTAGATGTTTGGATGGCGATGGTCCTTTTGATCTGTTATGCAATCGTCGAGTGGCACTCCACTGATCGCGTGCTCCGGCAATTTGGTTGTTTTCAACCAATTCCGGAAGCACCTCGCAATATGGACGAGTTGCATAGCACAAATAGACGCGACAAGACCGATACAGATTGGCTGGTGAGGCATCACGAGTGGGTCGTGCTGTGGGAGGATCGACATCGGTGCCTTCCCCGTAGAGAGCCCATTTTTACTGACCTCTTGATGGTTGCTGATGGTTATTATGAGTGGTTCACCAGTAACGGGAAACTGTTTCTACTTTCCGATGATGCACAAGGGCGGACCTTTCAGCGACATCGACAGAGACGTTCACCGACACAGCACCATCATCCCCCGACTCATGAACAGAGAGCAAGTGCTTCTGGTTCATCCTCAACTGCACCAGCAGGACCTTCACATCAGCCACTGTCTACAGCGACTTACCTTCCGCAGCCATATGTGATATCGCCATCGCCGTTCCCTTACCCGATGCCACCGCTGTCACTATCACACCAGCAGGACTTTTTGTTAATGTATTTTGGTTAATTTTGTTTATTACCATTTAATATCAGTTATTGTAATTTGTTTACCATTTACCATTTAATACTTATTGTAAGTTTGTTGTATTTAAAATTATATTCAAATACCAAATTGTTATTGTTATAATAAAATTTAATAATTGTGTTCGATAACTTTCTTCAGTTTGTAACTTATTGTAAGATCGAATGACATTAACTTGAAGTAAATACAAATTAAAGTACAAGAATTCTTATTTGATAAACAAACTACATCAGTTCCTCATCAATTGCTACTTGATGACAACAGAAGTGGACATGTTTTTCTAGTGTGCCCTGGGTTTCTACAATGCCCACATATTCTGTCTTGTCTAGATCTTTCTCGAATATCCATATCACAATGAATTTGATTGGATTTTGGAAGACCACGCTCCCTCAATAAAGTTAGATTTGGTACAATCGAAAGCCAATCATGAACCTCATCAGGGTCTTTGTCATTACCTATAGGGGGAACTCAAATTCATATACCTTAAAAACTTCATATAGTAGGTATACGGGATCCACAAAACAATTATAGTCTTGACGTGTATGCGAGCAAGCTGCTATCACATGAGAATATGGATACTTCAGAGCTTGAAAAAACCCGCAGTCGCACATTCTGTCCCGTAGATTTACTCTTAACGACACAACTTCAATCCCTTGAAGAGGTCGCGGCAACTCTGTGACACGAAACATTTCATGTCTTCTAGAGAAGCTTGTTACAGACATTCCATTTGATGCAACAATTTTTTTGTAGATCTGCAATTAATCTAGGGTGATAGACATGACCGCCTTACATCTAGGTTTGAGCTTGTCCCCCGAGCTTCGCAAAAAGCGCCCCCAAACGAAAATATGTAGTTTTTACCAAAGTCGCTACAGGTAAGTGACATGCACCCTTTAAGGTTGAATTGATTGCCTCAGCCAAGTTGGTCATCATGTGTCCATATCGATATCCACCATTATATGCGTTCGTCCACATTTTTTTATCGATGAGGCTGATGTAATCGTATCCTTTCTCGTCTTTCGCCTGCAAATCTTGAAGCATTTATTCAAATGTTTGAGGAAGTAGTTCGTAACCTGATCAAAAAATGTATAACTTACTAACTTGCTTTGTTTGCAAAATTAAAATGATCGAAAGAAAACAAACTACATCAGTTTCACTTACCCATGCACACAATTAATTGACGCTCATCATTCTTCTTGTACCTTCCATGGTAGTTCGCAACAATGTGTCGGAGACAATACCTTTGTTGGACAAAGAGTAGTTGCCACATTAGACCCAAAGACTCCATTGCTGCCTTGATCCCAGCTCCGCGATCTGAAATGACACAGATTTTTTGCCTCGTGATAACATGTGCACGTAAGTTTCGGAGGAAAAAAGCCCAAGAATCTGTATCTTCTCTTTCAACAAGAGCAAAGGCAACTGGAAGAATGTTGCGATTGCCATCTTTGACAACTGTCAATAATAATACTTGCTTGTATTTTCCATACAAGAAAGTCTCGTCGATTTGGACCACAGGCTTGCAATATTTGACAACATTAACGCACTGTGGGTAAGTCCAAAAAACCCGATAGAATTAGCATCGATCGTGAAGAACTCGATCATTATGGTATGCATAGGAGGTTTTGAAGTCCACAATTGTCCCAGGATTCAACCTCCGCACCAACCTAAACCATCCTGGAAGTTCGTTGTAAGATGCATCCCATTCGCCATGAAGTTTGACAATGACATTTTGTTTTGCCAACCAAGTTTTTTTATAGGAGAAAATATACCTATATTGCGATTGTATAGCTGAAATCAACACATCAACAGCTATATGAGAGTTTGCTTTTACCATGGGCATGATGGTTTGGCATATCACTTCAGAGTCCAAGTTGGGATGATCTTGGTTGACCCCTCCAGCACAATATGTGTGAGGACCGTTGTATACTGTTAGTTCTCATATGTTGTTTTTTCTCTTCCTCTTCGATACGCTAACCATCCAATTGCATCCGTTTTTGCGTCGGGCACAATAGCATACATATTTTTCTGTCGTGGAGCGGTCGACTCTCGATTGAATATAATTACGGATATTGTACTTTTTTATAGCCATCATCGCTTCTTCTTTGCTTGAAAACTTCATGCCTAAAGATAACTCACCATTATTTATTGACGAGTAATATTCATAGTTACCGAGATGAGGCATATCCGTAAATTCTGACCCGTACATTGCACCATAATCAACTTCATTATAATATTTTTTTAAATAACCATATATAATTATAAAAAAAATAATATAACAAAATTACCTTATAACGAAATATCGAACGAACTTCTGAATCAAATATAAGAGGATTGTCAGGTGTTATTTACTGGTTGAAAGGATTGTTGGTGAGAGAGTTTACGGGGAGATGGCTATTTATAGCCGAGAGATGATGCTTTAAAGTCGAGAAGTTTGGGTAAATTATGCAAGGCGCAGTCCCTGCACCACGCCTTGCATTATGCATGCCTGATAATTGAGCATGTAATAATTGAAATGCGCGACCCCTACACCGCGCAATAGCCATACATGGAGTAAGGTGCGCCCCAGGGGCCACACTATAGCCACGTGTATACAACTTAGCATAAAGTGCGCAGCAAGGGGGAGCACCTTACCCCACGTGGCGTCATATCAGCGTAAAGCGCGCTGCAGAGGGCGCGCCTTACTATAAAGGGTGTTAGATCCAAAAAAATAGTCTAAAGGGTGTCTGACAGGAAAATATAAAGTCAAAGGGTGATATATCGAGAAAAACGCTAGATAAATGGTAAGTCTTTCGTTACTATTATTTTATACATATATACTTTTTTTTACTTAGGGATAACTGCTTGGTAAGTTACCAATTTAATAATATCATTTTTTATTTTACTTATTATATTTTTTAATCTATTCATTAAATTTTATATACTAAATTTTTTTAGTTATTCTATGATATGTATTATCTTATTGTTATTTTTATTATAAAATAAAAAGATTATTAATATTTAATTATTAAATATAATTTAAAATAATAATAATTAAAATATCTAAAAATCCAATCCCTAATTCCCTCTTACTCTTAGTTTTAGTTTCATTCGACCATCTAAACTTATGGTATCAACACTTTAATTTTATGATACTTCAACATCTATGGCACATATAATATAATTGATCATTTAACTTTATATCATACTTTATAATGATAACATTGTATACCATACATACATATTTATTTTTATGAATTTTAATCCAACAAGATAAACTTTCCTCACCTTCACTAAGATTTCTTTCACTGCCCAAACACCAGAAGCTGGAAACTCAAAAGCCTTGGATAGCAGTAGCCCATATGGATGTCAGACTTCAACTCTTCATTGAGAAAATCTCATAATTTAAAGAAAATTAATATATGAATATAACATATAATCTCTTATGAAGAACACTTCAAATTAAACCAACTATATATATATATATATATATATATATATATATATATAAAAGCTCATCAAAATAAGATAAAATGTTTTAAAATAAATAAGGTAAGTGTCTATTTTGCAAACTATAGAAAATAAATGGAATTTATATCAAATCTCAGAGTTTATAAAAAAAATGGATGTCCCTTTTTCCATATATATGGGGTAAGGGGGAGGTAAGATAGTATGCTAACCCCAACACAGAGCCGCTTCCGTAAAAGACCTCCAAATTATGAAATGCCCTCCGTGGGACTCGATCCCACGACCTCAAGGTTAAAAACCTTGTGCTCTATCAACTGAGCTGGATGGTCATTTCATTCAGAGTTTATAAACTATTCCCTAATAAAAATCCAATCCTCAAATCATTCTTCGTCGATATTAAACGTTAAATTCAACATATGTTCCTTAATTTTGTAGTATATACTCTCTTTTTATTTTAATATAATTGATTCATTGTTTTCATTTTATATTTTTTATTTCTTAATTCAATAATGGAAAATTCATTTTAAACATATTTATACAAACAAATAAATACATATACTAATATTTTTCTCTCTCGGTTCTCAAGATTTTCTCTTGAATAATTCTAACCGACCCGAGTTACATACATTGCTTTGGTGAGTGAGTCTCTCGATGAAGATTTTCTGCATATAAAAAATTCGAACTCGAGATATACTTAAATGATAGTAAGTTGCTTATCACTTGAACCAACTTTGTTTGTATACTTACTAATATTTTAAACTAGTTTATTTTAAAACATTTTATCTTATTTTTAGTTTTAAAAAATTTTAGATTAACTTATCCAATTTTTTTTTTTGAAAGAAATAGCTTAAGGAATAATACCGTGCGCTCGAGTTTATAAAAATAGATTCTTCCAGCCAATCACATTGAAGAAGCCGAATCAAAAAGGGTAGGAAAAAAAGGAAATTCCAAATTTCAATGTACCAAAAAAGAAAAAGAAAAAAAAAACCAGAAACCAGAAACCAGAAAAAAAAAATGAAATTCCCAAATTAGTTGGACTTTCTCGGTCTCATTTGCTTGCTACCTTCTGCGTCTTGAGTTCTCTGTCTCATCTACTTTTTCTCAACTTCATTCTTATTTTCATTACACTATCCTTTGATTTTTATCAAAAAGGGAAATGAATGTTATCTTTTTTTCTTCTATAAATGCAGATAAGTAAGAGAAAAGATCGGGTTTATCTTTTTAAAATTGGGATTTTTGTGTGTAGTATTTGAGAGGACCCATGGCTGCACCACGAGCTCGGGCTGATTACGATTATCTCATTAAGCTTCTTTTGATTGGCGATAGTGATAAGTTCTTTTATTTTCTTTTAATTTGTTGGGTAACACAATAATTAATTGAAAAATAAAGCATGTGTATTGAGAAAACACTGATATCTTGTCATTTTTTTACGGTTTTTATTTAATTGTGCTTAGATTCCATTGTGAAAGAGACTACAAACAATATGATTTTTTCGTTTGAGATGTTATGACTTGGCTTATGGATTTGTTGTATATTGCGTTTGTATTTTTAAGCTTTTCATTGGTTTTAAGGGAATGGGTTTTCCTAAAAGTGGTTTTGGCCATTATTAATTTCTACAATGGTTCAGATTGGGATCATGATGGAAGGAGCTCTATTTCATTGTAACATGGGAAGTGGCATATGCTTACTGGATTAGCTAGGGTGTGTATGTGTTTGTAGTACTAATAGTGGATATTTTTTAGTAGTTTTATAGCAAGTATCATACACCCCAAGAAATAAGTTGGGGAAAGGGTGTAAAAGTAGGGGACACTCTTTTGTTGATTTTCTTAATTGTAGTCTTCGATGTGGAATCTTGACGTTGTGACATGCATATGTATCATTCTTGTGCCGTGCCATGGCAAACTTGATGGTGGGAATCTTTGAGACAATATCCGAATCTGTTGCAGAGTAGGAAATAAAATTGTTTTTGTTACACTAGACAAATATTTGTTGAAGAGGCAGGTTGTGTAATTCGTACTGCTTGGTTTACAAGTTAGAGAGAATAATTAAGTGATCTTATGCTCAGGCTTGAGTTTTATGTAACTTTAAATATCACCGACTGTGACTTTCTCATTTGAATTTATGCAGGAGTGGGGAAGAGTTGTCTGCTTTTACGTTTTTCTAATGGTTCCTTTACTACTAGTTTCATAACAACCATCGGGTTTGTATCCCTGGAAACTCCTGTATATTACTTGTTCAAAGTTATTTGCAGTTTTGGCATTTCAAAAGTGTGAATGCTGAGAGGAGCACTTGAGGTGTAGCACTATAGGGACTTAGTATCGTGACTAACAGAGAACTGACTATTATTTGCAACATTTGGTTACTTCCAATGGAACTAACATGTTTTAGGGATGGAATGGAGTTTACAAGTACTGTAATCTGACTTTTCATTAATCTGTCCTAGACAATCCCTTGTAATTGGTAATCAGAATGAACTGTTTATGGCAACAGACTATAACCCGTTCACTCCTTCGCTCGTATCTATTCAGCTGATTCTCTAAGATTTAAAAAGTTTGATTACTTTATGAATGTTTTCTCTTATTGATTAACTATTTTCCTTGACAGCATTGATTTTAAAATAAGAACCATCGAGCTTGATGGTAAGAGAGTCAAATTGCAAATCTGGGATACAGCGGGTCAAGAGCGATTTCGAACTATTACAACAGGTGTGTTTAAGCACATGCAGGTTGGATTTTTATTTTCTTTTCAAACTAGTACGACAGAACTATCAAAGTTTGATGTTTGACTTTTGTGATGAATCACTTCTGCAGCTTACTACCGTGGAGCTATGGGAATTTTGCTGGTTTATGATGTTATTGACGAGTCATCTTTCAACAGTAATTTTCTGGCTTTATTAATTCTGTTTTTGGAATATAGGTGGAATTGTCAATTTATATGGATTGATAACCCATTGTTGTTCGATGATTTCCATCGTTTTTATGCTTGTCTCCTTCATTGGGTTAGGCAGTGATATTAGTCTATTGTTGATCCTCCTCATCACTGCTTTTTGTTGGGATGGCTTAAGATATCTCTGTTGGAATGGAGTTTCTTATAGTGGGTCCTACATCTATTGAAAGTCTTATTGAGCCAGCTTCTATTCATGTACAGATATCAGGAATTGGATTCGCAATATTGAACAACTTGCTTCAGACAATGTCAACAAGGTACTGGTCGGAAACAAAGCTGTCATGGATGAGAGCAAAAGGGTAAGACTTTCCCTTTTGAGTAGTTATAGAAATTACTTATCTTGTTTGTATTGGTGGTTAGATTGTTGGTTCATTAGATCCCAAGGCAACCCCTTCTGTGTCGCATGACTTGTATCACCGGCTTTGCTTCTTGTAGTTTATTTGCACACTTGGTCTTTTAATAAGTTTGACAAACCCTAACTCCTCGTGCACATACACTTGAACCAGACACATTTCTCGAGTAATAATTGGACTTAATCTCCTTTTTCCCAGGCTGTGCCAACCTCCAAGGGTCAAGCTCTTGCTGATGAGTATGGTATCAAGTTCTTTGAAACTGTAAGTTGCAGGTTTGCTGCTGACTGAAACTTTTCTTTTATAATGCTATTGACCATTTCTTTGGATACGTTTGGAACAATATAATTCGGCAGAGTGCAAAGACAAATTTGAATGTGGAGGAGGTTTTCTTTTCAATAGCCACCGACATTAAGCAAAGGCTTACAGAATCTGATAATAAGGCTGAGGTATTCTCTCTTCTGATTTTTTACTTCTCTTTGTTCGCCTTGAATATTCCTTTGATTGCTTCATGTTCAAAATGATGGATGCCTTGTTTCTTTATGGTTACAGCCAGCTGCACTCAATATCAATAAGGATGATTCTGGAGCAACCAGTGGACAAGTTGCCCAAAAGTCAAATTGCTGCGGATAGTAATGGTATTTCAAGAGGTATGCAGATTCAAAATGGAAGTTTCAGCTTCACAATCGCTCTAATGTAAAACTAATTGGAACGACATCATGTAGGTTTCATGTATTTATCTCTTTTTTTATTATTTCCGGCTACTGGATTAGCTCGTTAAAGGCTGTTTTTTTCTCTCTTTTTTCCATTTAACATGTGGAATTTTATAAGCATATGACATTAAACTTCTTGAACTCAAATGACCCTTGTTATGTACCTGTCTTGTGTAGATAGATAACTTAAATCCATGTTTCGGTACAAAGGAGGTTATAATAGTGGGAAAGATTTGAAATGTCGGGATTCAAACCCAGAACCTTCTGAATAATAAGGGCAGCCATAATCAAGTTAAGCCTAGGAGTTCTTAATCCACTCATGTAATAGGTAATTTAATGCTCTAGGGTTGAAGGGTTGGTGCCCTTGGGTTGAAGGTCACCGATTCATGTTTGGGTCCTTAGCCTATGCCTTGCTTAGACTTTGCAGGCCTTTCAGAACTCATCTTATTGTTTAATTATGAGGTAGGATTGATGTTTGCCTTTCTTAACCTAAATGATTGAGATCAGTAGGAAGATTTCTAGTTATAATTGCAATTTCATATCACATTCTCCTGTAAAATTATAGTCTTTCAAAACCAAACCTATTAAAATTTGGGGGGGGGGGGAAGATATATATATTTTTTCTCTCTCTTTTGATCGACTCTACAAACCCGGATCAGAGATGTTAACGGACCTCAACCTAAAATGAAAAACATGGAGCGAATATAATACTAACTTGCTATCATTAAAATCGACTCAATATTCACCAATCCAATCACATGATTGACAACGTCATCTCATAGACAATCATTAACAATTTATGACTTGAATTCATATTTAGAGACTATATTCAAACTTAAGAAAATCTTGGGGACTTAACCATAAATTTTAAAATTATGAGAATTGTTCACTTAAACAAACATTACCACAAAATTAATACACAACCATATTTTAATCATTACTATCAAATTCAATCGTTTCATAGTGTTATCTTCTTAAATGTTGAAATTCAAACTTTTAAAAAAAATTAGGGACCTAATCCGAATTAACAAAAATATGATCTTAAAACAAACATAATATTCTTAAACTTAAGAAGTATTAGTTGTAACACCCCAACACGTACCCGACCTGGATACGAGTCCGAGATGTCACATTGACATTTTCAAAACCTTTATTCTTGTAAAATAACTGAACATTTGAATTTATATTAAGAAAATATGATCATATATTGTTCAATTGTATTTGGTATAAAATTTTGAAAATAAAAGTGTATTTATGAACAGTAAAATACAGTATGAACAATATCGTATGAACAGTACACAAATGTTAAAATTTCCAGATTACAAATAGAAAACCAATACCATTTACATATATATATGCGTTTCAAAACTCGATCAGAGTGTATCCAATACAAATCCTTTTAATTATTACATGCCAACTAAATACTTTCTAACAAAATACATGTAATTCGATCTACATTTCTGATCTGATCTTTGGTAAGGAGAACTGACCTGTCTTGTTCCTCTTTATTTCTCTTTTCGCTTTCCATACCTACGTGTGAAACAATCACACGCTAAGTCGATGACTTAGTGAGGCATATAACATATAATACCATATATCATTTCTTATAAATAAAAGGCATACATCTGCGAATACTATCATTAATCCCTTTCACTTACCATATACTCATCATGTAATTTCTATAACATATACTCACATGTACGTATATCCTTGCAATTTAACATCCTTACATAAATCCTGTGATCTATTACATATAACAAATCGCATATACATATCATATTCAATATACTTATTAAATCTCTTTATTAGCCCATGTACACTGTTGAGAACTTAATGTATGTGAGCACATTGAGGTTGTGCACTATTATGCTGTCACTACAGCTCATATAAATGTCCTGAAGGACCAATCCATAGATTTCGAAAAACCTAGGTAATCAGTCCATATGTCCCGAAGAACATAGGTAAACAGTCCATATGTCCCGAAGAACATAGGTAAACAGTCCATATGTCCCGAAGAACATAGGTAAACCCTCGACCCTTGCATGCCAACTATACCCTAGCTCTCATATCACATACATGGGCATTGTAATTTATAACAGCTCACATCACTTATTCATATCATTTCCTTTCTGTCACGTACCACATGTACGTGTAATCATTGATCTTATAATCACATATTTCATATAGTCACTTGGCGTATTTCATTTCGCATTGGGCATGTCTCATAGCATATATCACACATGCATATAATCATGTAACATATATAATAACCTATATCCATTTCATGTATCCATGCACATATCAGAATCATAAATCAAATAACATTTTAGGAGTCACTTCTTACCATAATAACTCCAATACTGGCTCATCGCAAGCCAATGTTCGTTCAATAACATAAGTACAATTAAAATTGCACTCACCTTAGCCTTGCTTTGATTCGATTATAATCCTTTGATTATTCCGGAACTTGTTTAGGCTCAATATCTATATAAATATATCATTTCAAAACAACTATCAGAAGCCTAAACTTTAAACTTGATGTAATAACTTAAACCGGTTTAATGAATCAAATTCTATTTTTTTCATTAAGGGGGGAATCGATACCCCCCCAGGGGGAATCTGTTCCCGGGGAATCGATACCCCCAGGGGGGAATCTGTTCCCCCTGCACATACTGAAATTTTCGTCCAAGAGGGGGAATCGGTTCCCTTCATAGGGTATCGGTTCCCTCTACCCAAAAATTATATTTTAACCCCGAAAATCATCAATTCTTCACTTAATCTTCTATTTTAAACCCCTATCATGTCATTAAACTCAACTACCATTACTTAAACCACTTATATCCATGAAAATCATCTATAACTTCAAAATCCTATCCTTCATATATAATTCAAGAATCATACTCAATTTTCAATATGTTCTAAATACAATTCTAACACTTATATCTTCTTATTCTCATAGATGACAAGTCAAATTCAACTTAAAATTCAACTTATCAACTCTATTCCATGATTTCATATAAAAACTCATTTTCTTAAATCTCTTATAACTTCTTCATCTTTTGATTTTAAGATAACTTAAGCTTTCCTTAAGCTTAGTTATCATCTAAGGATCAAAACTCATGCTTAAAATCAACAAACAATCAAGAAATTAGAGAACTCACCTTTGCTTTGAGTTGTCACGTGGAGAAGAGAAGAAGATGAAGAAGAGAATTGCTTTGAAGCTTATCTCTTCAATCATTCTCCACATGGGTATTATAATACCCATTAATTATTATTTAATTATTTTCCTTGTTCAATTACTCATTTGCCCTTTGACTCCTTTAATATTTACTAACAACTTTCAGGAAATATCTCCACATAAATCATTAAACTATTCTACTTTAATCACCATATTCTGAAATTTTTACAATTTAGTCATTAACCCGTAGTTTGGGATGTTACAAATCTCTCCCCCTTAAGAAAATTCGTCCTCGAATTTTCATTGTACAAATAGATGGGTAATTGTATACCCATATCTTATTTGCACTTCTCTGTTATACTTCGATCTACCTCTAACTTATATATCCTTATCATATCTATTTTTAATTCATTTATTAATCAAAATATACAACTATATTCAAATCCACTTCATATTCGATTATCATATCCTGAAAATATCTTAAATTTTACTAATTCTAATATATTTTTCATCTCATAATCTTGTTAGCCAATGCTAACTTTTTCCATCCAGAATGCAAACTCTTATATTCATATCATATCCATATTTTTACTTATACACAATACTATCCTTTTTCCTCTATGCTTTTTCATTAATTTCATATCATCTATACTTTCATTCTTTATTCCTTTTTAATTTCTATCAATCCTTAATTTTCGTCAAACATTCAAATCCTTTAACTTTAATAGACTCACTTACACACTACTTTATTATCCAACTTATTTCTTTCCATCAAAACATAAACCTTCATTCTCACTCTTTCTAGAGCTTTAACATGATTTACCATTTCTTGAAATGAGAACAATTTTAAAACAGTAACACTATTTTGATTTAAGGCGCAAGCCTTAAACAACCAATCACATATATTCTTCTTAATCGAAATCATTTCAGCAATAAATCTAATTAACTTATTAAACTTATACACATACACATGCACGTATAATTTCATTTCTTCAATCTCATATATTCGAGTTTCATTTGTCTTATGAACTTATTATCGATTTACTTATTCTTGAACTGTTTTATAAACCATAACCACGTCACTTGATCTTTCAATATTCTTATGGTGACTTTCATTCACCATATTTTATCTTATCTACGTAGTAACGAAACTTCTCAATTTAATTTCTCATCTTTGGAGAAATGAACACCTTCTAGCATTATCTTCATATCATTTATCCAAAGGTCTGTAACAACAGAACCTTTCTCAAATTCACCCTTGAACTTGGGTGCACTTAAATCTATTCGATACATTCATTCTATGAGTTAACAAAGTATACAATTTAAAACACATCGGAATATCATTCAACATCATGAATCATTTTCTAATCTTATACAGGCATTCCCTGAGGTTTTCGCTCTTCTCCCTGCCTGGCCAGGGTAGGTGAATGCTATTACCTTCAGGTTTATCGCCTTGTGCTTCACTTTGGAAGCTCTCATATATTCATGTGCTCATATCATTAATTCTATCACATATCACGTGTGTATATGATCATCCAATTCATATCATATAACATATGTCATTTGATATGTTCACATATCATCTATCATATTATATAAACATATATATATCTCATTACTCATTCTCAGTATTCACTTATCTTATATAACATAACAATTTAACTCTATTAACAAGACAACACACTCCTTACCCTATCATATCAGAAAAATTTTCACTTTGTGTTAGCATGTACACTTTTTAAAACACTTTCGACTTCGTTTTTAGCCTAGAATCGGCTAAACCGTAGCTCTGATACCATTAATTGTAACACCCCAACCCGTACCCGACCTGGATACGAGTCCGAGATGTCACATTGATATTTTCAAAACCTTTATTCTTGTAAAATAACTGAACATTTAAATTTATATTAAGAAAATGCGATCATATATTGTTCAATTGTATTTGGTATAAAATTTTAAAAATAAAAGTGTATTTATAAACAGTAAAATACGGTATGAACAATACTGTATGAACAATACCCAAATGTTAAAATTTCCAGATTACAAATAGAAAACCAATACCATTTACATATATATATGCGTTTCAAAACTCGATCAGAGTGTATCCAATACAAATCC